CCACATTTAATTCAATTTTTGAACTGCTGCGTAATGGATATTTAAACTTTTTGGGCACACTGTGTCAATACTTTTCAACTTTTGGATGATTTAGCAATGCTTACTAGTTATATGCTTTATATAATTTATTTAAACATGTAATTCACAGCCATTCTAGTAGATTAAATAAATTCCAGATGATCATACTGATCGATTTTTACGGGAGATTGGCACATCATTTTGATTTCAATAGTATTATGTTTTAGCATTCCAGATTTTTCCATATTTTATATTTAAACTGGTCCAGATTTTTCTGAAAATGACCTGGCAACGCTGGTTATGTGGCAGTTGGGCCTGATGCTTGGTTGCCGTCGTTCGTGGTCTTCTACATGGATTGTTAGAGGATCTTCCACCAAATCATGAGATTCCTATGAAGATGGAATTTCATTCACCATCTGATTCAAAAGCAGTAGGCAGCCAATCTATTGCGGAACGCGGTCGGTAGAGTTTTCCGATGACGAATCAGAAAAATCGGAAGATTTTATACAACCAGAATTCTTCGAAGGATACGATGTTCCGGATCAGTGTTTATTATCTTATTTACTCAAGGTAGACAAGACTGAGAACATCCTATCTTTTTTCAGGAGCCTTCGAGTTACGATCAATCGGCAAAATTTCATGAGAAAAATTAGTGTCAAAGACATACTGTTTATGACACTGACATTAGTTTGACTGCTTTCGGGAACGTGATTTAACTTGTTTAACCAGGGCTTAAACAGTCGTCACGTCGGTCATACCTTGTTATAATAGCCTGAACAAATGATAAGATAATCTTATTCAAATGTCGTAATAATACCTCTGACCAAGGCAAAATGATTTATATGGTTTTTATGAAACTTGACGATACCAATACTATTAAGGAAAGGAATTTCACATTTCCTTTTCCCAAGTCCTTTTCCTCTCCATCCCTTCTTCTCTTTTCAGAAAGCGAGTAATGGCGCTATAACCATATGCCATATAGGGCTAGGACAAGAGTTAGTGCTCAGGTCCCAACCGCTAGAAGAAATGCATCCATCAAAACTTTTAAGCGCAAAAGAAGCATTACCACCATAGGAGAAAATTCGGTAAGATCCTTCCATTGCATTATTTTATGATTCTTCAATATTGTACAAATATTTACACATTACACACAACTACACATAATAACTCGAAGCGTTTGGTACGGTATGTCCACGCATCTTTCCACCCCTGTAGATTCAAGAAATGTTCCAAGGAAGCGGCAACCAATCAATTTCAACTACAGCATGTGTGGACAAACTCTCGAGCGCTTGTATCAGGTTAGGGATCTCGGTGTGATATTGGACCGCGAACTCACTTTCCGATCACTTTCGTGATCCTCTCTGCCTGAAGTCCCTTTTCTGTGCACTGGTTCGATCTATTTTGGAATCTTCCGTGCTGGTATGGTGCCCGTACAACAGAAACTGGATTGACCGTATCGAGGCGGTGCAGAAAAAGTTTGTGCGCCTCGCTCTTCGGCACTTACCCTGGCGTGATTCGTCAAATCTTCCTCCATATGAACATCGTTGTATGCTGTTAGGCCTCGATACTCTGGAGAAGCGAAGATCCAATTTGCAAGCCATCTTTGTCGCTAAGGTAATGACCAATGAAATCGATGCCCCAGATATTCTTGCTGAATTGAACGTATATGCGCCGCAGAGACCTTTGAGGCAACGTAATTTCCTGCACCTTGCTACCCGGAACAGCCGTTATGGTCAACACGATCCTATCAGGATAATGTCCTTTCGGTTTAACGATGTTAGTGGACAATTTGACTTCAATGTTTCTGCTGCCACTTTTCAACGCCGCCTCAATGCACAGCGGTGAGTATCTGTCCAATCACTGCTACTTCGAAGGTGTGTATTAGGGTTTTCGATCCAATTTTCGTCCTACTAAGCACAACCTGCGCTTGACCTCTCTTTTCTGAACGAGTTTAAACAATAAATGGAATATTTCTGTCAAAGATGACTTCTAAATATATTCACCTTTCCATACGTACAGTTGGATTTGAGATATTGTTTAAAATCTAATACTGCTTCTTGATTCTAAATTCGTTCTACGAGTTTAAATTCCGTCCAAACGCATTGAAACGTCATTAGATTTTCTTCGTCCTACGGATCAACGTAGAAAAAGGGGATTCGTTAGGAGCGCTTCTTTTGTTTTGAGAACAATGGGCGTAAATATTCATACAATGCGCTCTAACAGGATTTATGTTGTAGCTAATGAACTAACGCATCGGAACACTCCTATTATTGATTTGTCCACGGTGATATCATTGATATTATTGATTTTTTCTGATTGATAGAACGGAAATGGGCAATTACGACGAAGTAGCGCTCTACCCTACCTGCTGTTTTTTTTATTACATGGTCTTTCTACAACACTACACCGAGTTTTCAACCCTCCGACGCGTGAGCTGCGACGCATTTGCAGATTGTTGTCTTTAATTATTTTAGATTATTGACTTAGCATTTAATATGTTTGTCATTTATATTCATTTGTATTCAACGTATTCTGTGTATTGACTATTTGCAATTTTATTTATTGTTATATGTATGAAAAGACATGGGGTTTTTACGCCTCTTTAAGCCAAGTGAATGGTTTACTCAAAGAGGCTTTTCCCCATCCTAGATTTCATTAAGACTGAAAAAAGTCAGATGAAACAAGAATAAATAAATAAAAATAAAATAATTTCCAAGAATCATCTTTGCGGCAAATACAACGCAGTAGACCTGGCCGTATTGATGTTTATATCATATCTCAGATATGCTGTAAACATCAATTAGACAAGAAAAATGATTAGACCTCATCTAACCTAATCATTTTCCAGGATGCTTTCTCGTACTGGCTGCGTTTGTATTAGATTAGATTAGATTAGATTAGAGATGCCTTTAATTATCGTCACTTAGAAACAGAAAATAGTGGATAAACTTATATTTTTGAATCATTAATACATATTTTATGTATTGATAGTAATTATAACTGCCTTTGTTATAATTCTGATATGATGACAAACATCGCACAAACCACTTTTCACTAATATATCAAAATATAACACACGTTGATATAAATATCAACCATTGATATAATTGTGTTATAATTTTGTTATGGCCTTCTAAACGGGATATGCTTGGTTTGAATCAATAATTATAATAATAATAGTAACACAATACAAGCATTTTCATTATAATAACAACAGCATGTTTTTCAAAATATAATAAATACTTGTAAGGGGCTGTTCATAAACTACGTAGACAGTTTTTTTTATTGACCCCCCCCCCCCTCCTGCGTAGACAATTGTCCATACAAATTTTTTACGTGTTTTCTACGAAAATCAAGCGTTTTCAAACTTCAAAACAATGATATTTTGAACATTTTTACGTAAGACTACGTCTGTGATTTCTAAATGGGTGTACACTTTGTGAAAACCAAAAATGGAACGTGTAACAAAATAATGAAAGATTTTGAACATTTATAACTCAGCTGCCCCTGGACCAATTACAATAATTTTATCACCAACCGATCAGAAATATTTCTACGCATCTTTAATGCGTAGATGCGTAGAAATATTTCTGATCGATTGGTGATAAAATTAATTTAAGACTTTATCATTTTTCAAAACGAATGAAAATTAAAATTTTCACCGATTGCCTGCGAAACTTGATTTCCCTAAAACAGATTTCAAAGTTGAATTCCATCCGGTTTTACCAAACGGTGTTTGGTAAGATTCAGGTTGGCCTCAACCGCTGAACGGATTCAGTTCCAATCACCGTGTGTGGTGGTGGTGCAGCAGCATCAGCAGTGCTTTCGTAGTTCATAGAAGGAGGAAAAAGCCGCACCGCTATTGATCGGAATCAGTAGCTCTTCGTGAGTCGCTGTGGTCCATCTATGTCAAACGCGTCATACTAAAGAGTGTAAACAGCGTGAACCCCGCTCAAATTCCTATTCCTACACAAAATACAAGCTCCTGCTGCAGTTAACAAACAAGATTTATTATATAAGACCACGTAATCCTACGTCACCATTGCGTACAACCCCATAGGGCTGTCCCTTGTAGTTTTTTAATTCGATTCTAAAATGACAGTGGGGCAAAGTGTCTGATGCCTGGTACAATATGCTCCACAACATTGGGGTAAGACGCACGACATTAATGGACAAGACGCACCACAATATTGGGGTGAAATGAACCGCTTGAAAGAAGTTAAACATAACCTGTAAATCGGGGGCGACCCTGGCGTAGTATTAGCATCCATATCCCTCACGCCAAAGTCACAAGTTTAAATATCATCCGCGGACAAGTCACAAATGACCCAAGAGCGACTATAATTAAAAAATAAAAAATAAACTAAATTGAGAACATAGAGACGTGAGGTGGAAATCAATGTGATTTTTCGTTAGGTATTTCATTTGTGATATATACTGTTAGAAGCTTAATTTGTGGTCGGTCTTAACAACTATCACATCTTTCGCACAAAATATCAATTTTTAAACAAACTAGTGAGCGTATGCATGATTTCTTGACCAGGAATTACTTGTCAAACTTCCAGTTGAAATTTAAACACATTCCGTCGAAAGTCGGGAAAAGCATTGGAGGAAAATTTATCGCGTTGTTTTTCTGCATGTGAGCATTTTACCCCAGGGGTGCATGGGCTGTTCTCCCTTACTGCCTTTTAATGTAAAACACCACCAAATGTTGGAATCAAACCTTCCCCCCCGACCAGCACTATACACTTACCACCTCAACTCCGACACAACATCACCTGTGTTGCTGACAGTTTGCATTGTTGGGTACGACGCATGCGCTCCCCATTCACTCCGACACCATCCCGACGGAGCCGAGACTGGTCAACCTTCGCAAACGGTTGGGCTGTTGCATACATCGCGGGGCTTGTTCAGTTTGTTTCGGACGCGGCACCACTTCGGTTCGGTATGGTCCGCTCCCATCCGCGCACGGTTAGGCAGCTTTTCGTGAATTCGTGTTGAAATGATGAAATACAGTTCGGACATGGCTTTCGGAGAAGCACATGGCGCCACGTTGTTGTAGTAGAGAGCCCCATCAGCGATGACATCGATGACGGTTGTACGAGAGCAGTGATGATGGCTCGCCTTGGTAGTAGTGGTGTCGCGTTGCATCCTCACGTCCATGATACGGTTCTGTGGTGGTGTAGAAGTGTGTAACTACTTAACTAGCAATTATTGGGGTTGTTGTTGCTGGTACGGGTGAAGGCGACATTCAGGCGCGAGGGTGGGTGGTGACTGCTGCCAGCTTCCGTTCGGCACCCAACAAGGATACACCGTCGTTCGGTTCGTTGTTACAAAAACAGACGTGCTCCGATGGAATCCGACTAGTTTCGTGTCTGCATTCGGATGGTTCACTAGTGGGATTTTTTCGTTCTTTCATCCGTTGAAATATGCTTTGTTTTCATCTGAATGTTTCGAGAAAGTGTTGCGATTTTTCGCACAAAAATCGACTATCGTCATGCGATTTAATGCAGCAAACTTTCAACTGAGATGAAAAATTACCACACTTAAAAGAAAACGGGTGAGAATACAATTTACCTTTTTTTTTCGCCTCCAGCTCCAGGACTAACCATTGGACCATTGTGTGTTTGTTTGGCGACTGGCTTCGGCCCCGAAGGGCCAGGAAAAACAACGACGCTTTTGTGTGTTTCACCCCGCCCGAAAGTATGCCATAAATCATAATGTAATAAATTTGTAACAAATTTCTTCGTTCATGTTGGGTGCTTTTGCAGTCCCGAGTAGATTCGAACACAGTGGAAACGGAAGAAGAAAAATACAACGAGTGAATAGATGATTTTGTTTGGAATACAAATTTCGCATCATCCCATCCGACTACAACGGGCTGTGGGTTCAGAGATTTTTGTTTCCCCCGATCGACAAAAAGAAAACAAAGTGAAGTGATTCAGGCGTAAAGAAATCCGCAAAACAAAAGCGCCTAAATATATACTGCTTCGTCACACGTTAAACATGGTATTCATGCCGGGAGAAAAGCCCAACAACAATTGGGCGGGAGGAAGATAGTGCAGTTCGGTTCAGCACCCGGGAAAGCGATTTTCCATTAATGTGATTAATGATGTGCGAAAGCGATTAGTGAAATTAGGCAATCCTAGCACAAAGCGTCGAAAAAAAAGCGGAGCTTTACGCCTAGGCTGTTTGGAGCCCAGTCAGCCGTGAAGTTTGCTGATGCTGCTGCCGCCTGCTCTCTGCCAAGTGAATGTCGATGATGATTTTGATGAAATTGTGCGTTTGATGGCGGGAAACGAAAGCAAGCTGAAACGTGCTGAGTGATATAGATATACGGTAGAAGTGGTAAGCTTATTTTTTTTTATCGGCCTGAAGGAAGAAAGGTTATAAGCTATTACGTGAAAGTCATCCCGATGTTGAAAGGAGATTGTGCGCTATTTTTGTTCCCGTTGCCTAGTTCAGTGAATATGGCGATTTAGTGCGGGATGGGGAAACTGGAGAAGACATAATCGTTTATTGTTGCTGGTGTGCTGACATGAGCGCAGATTGACACGGTTACGCTGAGGAAAGAAGTTGGAGAGTTGTGACAAAAATATGTGAGTAAAAACGTTAGTCATTTTACATACGGAAATGTGGAAGCTAGTGGCGATGGGGACATTTAATTTTTCGGTTTTGTGGATGGCTGGGATTTCTCTCTCTGTTTGAAGTTATTTTCAGGACATACTTGAATTGAAGTATTTTGAAGAATCAAAGTTCCAAAGTTCAAATTAGAGCTGTCCCAAACATTCACCTGATGATCTATGAACCCTCAAGTTGAGGGCCTCAACAGGTGGTTTGCTATACTTGGTATTAAAAATAACTGTGGATATTTTAGGAAAGGGAGATTTTCAAAATTTCCATGGAATTCTTGGGACTCACTCAGACCACTTTCTAAGCCTAAAATGTCAACATTAAGAAAATTTTCAGAATTTTAAATGGAGTGAGAAAGTGGAAAGAAATCAATAGAAGATTTGATGCAAGTTCCACCCACACCCCCAAACAGCAGAGTTGTAACAAGATTTTCAAAATTTGATCCGCGAAATCCGCGATTTCTCAAAAGAAATCCGCGGTTTCAAATATTTAAAAAATTGATCAGTATAGTATTCCGGGATATATTGTTGCTCCTTGTTTATCATATTCTAGACACTCTGGCGGTGTTGCTATTTATGTCAAAGAATCAGTTCAATTCAACCTTTGTACCAACGAAGTTATTGATGGCAACTGGTTCTTGGGAATTGCAGTTGTGCGTGGCATGAAGATGGGTAATTATGGTGTTTTGTATCATTCTCCCAGTTCTAGTGACCAGCGTTTTGTTGGAGTTTTAGAGAAATGGCTCGAGACATTCCTTGATTCTAGTAAATTAAATATATTGGCTGGTGATTTTAATATTATTTGGCGTGATAACTATAATTCGAATCATTTGAAGCGTTTAGCTAAGTTTTTTAATTTAAAGCAAACGGTAAATGAGTATACGCGTATTTCCAGGCACAGTAGAACTTTAATTGACCACGTTTATTCGAAATGTGATGCCATTTGTTCAGTAACGGATACTGATTTGAAAATAACCGATCATGAGACCTTAGTGATTGATGTCTTAGACCATGTTAACTATAACGACAATTTTGTAAAATTGAAGTATCGAATATTGTTGAGAGAAGCCTGTATTTTCCATTCGCGGCCAGTAGCTTAGATGAATCTACAGCTGTTCTTAATAACGCTTTGAAAACGTGTACTAATTAACTAGTTGAGCAAAAGTTTGTTTCTTTGAAAAACTCGAACAGCTGGTACAATTTGGATCTTTTGCGTCTTAAACGGAAAAGGGACAAATGGTACAAAACATTTTTATAGATCAAATAATGACAATCATTGGAATAGGTAAACATTCGCACGTAATAAGTATTCACAATTGATAAAGAAAACTCGTTGTGAATACGTCCAGAGAAAGATTGATCAGCATCAAAACAACAGCAAAGAGCTATGGAACATTTTGAAATCTTTATTAAAACCGAGTAATTGGAAACCGCAGTCCATAACTTTTAATGGTACTAAGTTTAATTATTATTTTGTAGACAGTGTTTCATTGATTAATAAATTTATTGAATTGGTCGATGAATCTGACGAAATAAAACAGCCAGTTAATAGAAGTTGTAGATTTGAAGTTTTTCACCTAATGACATTAGATGAACTTAGAGTTATTTGTTTTTCATTAGGAAAATCGACTGGAGTAGACAATGTTAATGCTAGAGTTATTCAAGATTGCTTTTGGCCACATCTTGCTAGACTTTATTAATTAACTGGACATGCTCCACAAATTTGGAAGGAACTCTCAGTGGTTCCTATTCAAAAAGTTACGATTAAAGCCGAAGAGTTTTGTCCTATCAACATGTTGCACACATTAGAGAAAATCTTAGAACTTGTTGTTAAAGGCCAGCTGTTGGAGTATTTAAATAGCAACTCTTTGTTGATACCAGAAAAATCAGGATATCGGGAAGGTCATTCTTGTGAAACTGCGTTGAACTTGGTGTTAGCAAAGTGGAAAGACAACTTGGAGCGTAAAGATACGACTGTTCCTTTTTTTTTTGGATTTGAAACGCGCTTTTGAAACAATTTCTAGACTCTAATTGTTAAGTACAATCAAGCGCTTTGGAATTACGAGTACTGCATATAAATGGTTTGAAAGTATTTGTCTGACAGAACTTAACGGATTGTTTTTAATGATTCTGCTTCCAGTCCCGTGGGGAATAACCTTGGAGTGCCCCAGCGAAGTGTGTTAGGGGCCCTGTTATTTATTATGTATATTAATGACTTGCGACGTGTTTAACGATTTTGCGACATTAATCTTTTTGCAGATGATACTGTGTTATTCTTTGCTGCTAAGGGTTGAGATGATGCCGTTTTGCACTTGAATGAATATTTGAGTTCTCTAAGTAGATGGTTGAAGTATAAGCAGTTGAAATTGAATACAAGTAAAACTAAATTTATGGTACTTTAGCGAAATCGATTAAATGCGAACGTCTCTGTTGCAATCGATGATGAGACTATTGATCGCGTTCGGGAGATTAAATATCTTGGCGTGATTAATGATGACAAACTAAAGTTCAACTCTCACATTGATAATGTCATCAAGAAAATTGTCAAGAAGTATGGAATTCTTTGTCGCTTGCAGAATAAAATAATGCGTTTGATTTTGAGATGTAACCTTCCCACTTCCTCAACTATGATGCTAGACTTTTTGGAGCAGTTTAAAAATTTGAGAACCTTTAAGATGTTCCGAGAAAAGGGAAGTACAGAGACCATCAAAGAATTCATGAAAACTTCAGAAATATTTCAGGAATTTCACAGAAGTCCAAAGAAGTTCAGGGAAATTTTAATTGAGAGCTTTAGGGAAGTTTCGGGAACATCAAGACAGATCAGAGAATCAAAGGGCGGTTCAAATAATTTCAAGGAAATTGTAGAAATCTTAAAGAAGTTCCGGAAGCTTCTGCAAAAATCCGATAGAATTTCTGGAACGTGATGAAAATTATATGAACATCCGGAAAACCTGAGAGTATTTAAAGGGTGTTATATCATGGAGTTTTCAAGAACTTTCAGAAATGCGAAAATTTTGCTAAGTTGATTAGAGAATATCAACGAAGTTCATAAATTAAATTAAATGCTAGAACGTTTAGCAAGCTGCGATAAATATCTTCAAGAAATTCCAGAGAACTTAGAATTTAGATAGTTTCATGATATTCTGCGAAATTCCGAGTACTTCGAGGACGATCAGATAGCTTCAAAATAATCCCATTAACTTAAGCAAATTTGCAGCGACTTACAAGGAATTACGTGGATTTATGGGGTATTCCAAGAATTCTATGATTGATTCAAAAACGTCAGGGAATTTTGAATAGTTACGTATCAGAAAATTTTCCGGATTATCAAACATATTATGAGAACTTCAGGTAAGCATAGATAAGTTCAGGGAAAATAACTGAGCGTTCATAATGGTTAGAATAGTGAAGGAAAATTGTTGAAACTTCAAGGCAAATCAATTAATTTCAGTAAAGTTGCGGGTTCTTAAAATATACTGATCAATTCAGGGCTGTCACGGACTATTGAAGAAGTTATAAATTAGTGTTGATAATTTAATGGAAGTTTTATGAACTTCAGAAAAATCATGAGAACTTGAATGAAAATCATAAAACTATTATTTCGCTCTAATTTCATAAAAATTGCGGGAGGACAAAAGTTGAAAAAAATTTAGAAAAACTTCGAAAACTTCACAGAAGGACAATGGCCTTCAGAAGCATTTCGAGAACTTCATAGAAATCTATGGACCTTAAGGGGCAGGAATCAGGAATTTCAGGAATTTTCAATATTAGCATAATGCGGGAGCATTTGAAAGAAGTAAGTTTAGTAAGCTCTGAAAATTGGAGGAATTTCAGGGGGAGGCTAGTTCCATTAGTTCCAAAAAAATAGTGGAAAATTTATAGCAGTTCCCAGATTTTCAGATAACTTCAGGAACATTAAAAGTTAAATAAGGTCTTCGCATAAGTTCAGAAGTTGACGGAAGCTTAAAAAATTTAAGGACGGTTCAATTCAATTCAGCGCAGTACAACAACATGAGAACTGCAAAAACTTAAGAGAAGTTTTGAGAATTTCAGAAAAGAACAGAGCAGTTCCGTTTACATAAGAGAAGGCACATAAAATTTAAAGAAGTTTAGAGAAATTCAGCGAATTGTTAAACTTTTAGAAGAGATTCATGATCGTTAGAAAAATTAAGGAAACTTCAGGAAGTCCTATTAAGTTCAGGGAAGTTTAAGAATTTGATGATTAGTATTGTGAGCATCAGGCTAGTTTCTTAGACATCAAAAGAACTTCAAGGCAGTTTCATTAACATTAACTATCCTCTATCCTCCGAATTCAATTTTCTTTTAGTTTTCCTCGGAATTACCTTGAAATTCCCCACAATAAGACACCCTTTTGAATCTCACTCCTTCCCTTGGAATTCTACTCACATTGAAAGTCTCCTAAGAATTCATTGGCATTTCTCATCACAAATTTCTTAGAGTTCTTCTCATAATTTGTTTGGCAAACTCTCCTGAATTTATTTTCCGATTTCCTTGGAAGATATCCTAGAGTTATTCTCAGATTTAATTGTTCTGCTTTTAGTGGAGAACGGCTTCAAAGCCCCCGAGAACTTATTCCAAGGACACTCTATGATGAGCAGCATCATACTGCAAAATGAGCGTTGTGAGATAATATTTACCCTAGTATTTACCCCATGCTTAGAATAGGGACTCGGAGGGCCGAAGCCGTTTTCCTCCCAATACACATACACTTTAAACGTTTTGTAAGTCCTACCTGAAAAATATAATATGTCGCTTTATCATGTTTCCCGAAAAAAATCTTCAAAGGATGGCAAATTCATGGCTTCTGCTTTTAAAATTTTATTCAAATTTATCTCAGGCCACTTGTCTGTGATCTTTGCTTTAATCAAACTTATTTCTGCTTCGGTCGCAGCAGGAAACACGACTACCTTTTCTCCTTTGTAGCGCAGTGATTCAAATCTGGATTT